AATATTTGTAAAGTTTAAATACTATTTAATATTTTATTATTTAAATTCAAATTAATAATTATTAAAAATATATTGTATGTTTTCTAAAAAATATTATATTAATTTAAATATATGTAATAAATATTATATATAAAATATGAATTTTCATTTATGTGAAAGAGTTTTTAGAAATTTTTCTTCAACAATTAAGTTTTGAAGATTCTTTTAACTTTATGTTTAATTCATTTTTTATTTATTATAATTATTTATCAATTAAATTTTATTTTTCTAAAATAAATTATCAATAAATAAAAATAATATTGTACTACAATATAAATTATTTATTATGAATCTAAAATATAATTTATATATTTAAAATATCTATTTATTAAAATTTTAAATATAATTATATTTAAATATAATATTTGTTTATATAAATAATTTATTTTAAATTTTAATTATATATAACAAATAGCACAAATTAAAATGATAATACAATGGGATGAGCACCACAACTATCTCAATCCGCACAATGGGATGAGCAACTTTGAAAACTTCTCCTCTAGTCCTAGTGATCAACAACTCATCACAACAAAATCACCTAGTATTTATCATAATAGTTCAACTATCAACTCATTCATACAACATTATATACAACTTGAATGCAACAACCCTTGCAACATTAACTGATGCATCGTCACGCATATACAACTAGGAGATCTCCAACAACTGAGGTTGAGCAGTCTAGGTGGCATAAACCCTACCAAATCCAATGTTTGACCTATCTCAACCAGGTCAGGTATAGGGCATCGTTAGGAACTCCAAAGAGAACCAGGTATAAACAATAATAGGTGATTACTTGGGTGTGCCACTTAGACTCAGAGGTCCAGTACTACTGTCAGGACAGAAGGGTTTGGGTATGAGCCTACCACGGCCTTAGCTAGCATCACCAATCCACATATGAAGTTAGCCCACCCACAGTCTTTCAAGTACCACGCACCCTCTAATACCTAGTCAAAGACTACATCTCTAACTAGATACCTTACTCAAATTGGTCATTCAACCATGACATGGATCGACTACTTCCATGTCGCCCACACAATACTAAAGGATTCAACTTTAAAACAACTTTCAACTTATCTCTTTAGTACTATGTATCTCAACATAGGACATATATCTTCACCATATGTCACCAACTTTTCAACTTTACAATAATAGGCAGCTTTACAACTTTACGACAATAGACAACTTTACAACTTTACAATTATAGGCAGCATAACAACTTTACAACTATAAGCATCTTTACAACAATAAGCAACTATAGTCATCAATCTCAACTTTAACAACTTTAAGGCAACTTTCAACTTTACAGCAATATGCATCTTTATATTACTTAATTAAACAACTAGAACAACTATAGTCATTACAATATCAACTTAATGTAACTTAACAACTTTACAACAATAATCTACTTCAAGTTATACATATCGAATTATTAATAATTCAATGATAGACAACATGTAAACAACTTAGTTTCATCAACCACACAACCTATAAACAACTTAAGCCAACAACTACTCAACTCATCTTCATCAGGCAACTTAACGACTTTACAACCTTACAAACAACTTCAACAATATACAACATATTCGACACAAATTACAAATCAACCAACATATCTAAAGTTCATCTATCATGTCAACTTACACAATGTAAACAACATAAATCAACTTAAGCGCCCAACAACTCAACCATTTCAACAAAAAAAAAAAACACAATGCATAAAGCTTCCCTAACCTGAATATTGGCTCCGAACAGCCAAGAATTCGGGAATAAGAAAAACTTTCATCCGAGCTCGACTCCTGAACTTCAATCCTTCAAAATCAAGCTTCCTAGCGAACTACAGTCCTTCTCTCTAAACTTCTCTCCCTTCCTCTCCCTCTTTCTTTCCCTTTCTCTCCTTCCTTAACGCCTATTTATAGAGGTCAGGAGTGGGAAGAACGACCTGTTTCAAATCCGGAACGGCCCGTTCTAGGCTCTTTCATCATGTGTAAAATTCACATGCAGAACAGTCCGTTCTGGTTCCGTTCTGAAACCAGAACGTCCCGTTCTGGCATGTCTAGAACAGCCCATTCTGGAGTTGAATTTAACTCACAACAATCATGTTTGGAACGGCCCGTTCCAGTGTAGGATTTTTAGGCCAATTTAGTAGTTTGGGACGGCCCATTTCAGTTTGAGAACGGCCCGTTCTGGACTGCTAAATCACCCATGACCTTCTGAAATTTTTTACCTTCAAACTTAAAATATATATTTTTAATTCTCAAAATATAAAAATTATTATTATAGTACATCGGATCTTTAGTCTTCAAATTTAAAATTAATTATTTTAGTTTGTATAATTTTAAAAATATTATTTTAGATTTTCATGATCGTTGGTAGCATAATTAACATTAATAAATTAGTTAGTCCTGTGTGTAGGCAAAGTCAAGGCACACGTGTATAAAGTGACCACGATATAGGGGCTATGTTGAGTTATACCGATTACAATCGACCATTTCGAGTAAAGTACGAAGTTGAAAACTTGGTTTCTAACAGAGTATCATTGGGTTGTAGTATTTGGAGGATAGTCAATAGGTTAATCCCACAGGTGGCTTAGTTGAGCTAGCTAATGCCGTGGTAGGCCTAAACCTAGTTGTCCTATCCTGAGATAGTATTATACTTCCTTATTTAAGTGGCAAAGTCTGAGAAATCGTTATCGTATTGTGGATTTTTATCCAAATTTGTTGTTTACCTAGCAACCCCAAAAAGGTTCTGTGTTGTCGGTTCGGTAGGACCTAGCCACTTAGACTGCTTATCCTGTGTTGTAGGAGATCTCTGAATTGAAATGCATAACGACGCATATGTGTTGATGTGTTGATACAATGTTGATATGTGTTGTATTGTTGAAGTGTTGTTAAGATGTGTAATATATGTGTTGTTTGTTACTTGCGTACCATGTGAAAAATGAATTATGTGTTGACGTGTTGCGATGATCATACATTGTATCGGAGCAGGGCAAGGATAGGAGGGAAAGTAGCAGTGGAGCCACAGGTGGTGCTTGGAGTTGGATTTTATTTTATAGACTACTTGTTGTTGGTAGATACTTTTGTATAGATATTTGTATATAGATGCTGGACAAATAACATAGTTGTACATGTTCATGAGATGTATATGTGCTTATATTATATTACTATTTCAGTATATGTATATGCACAGTTAGTTGTGTGTTGCGTAGTGTGACGACCATGACGAATTTTTTTCTTAAATAATTTTTTTAAAAATATAATTATATAATTGGACCGTAAAACAATATATATACAAGAATAGACATGTTCACTGTTTACAGCTAGAATTCGTGTCCCTGGAAATCGAATTCTAAGCTGTGATGCTGTTTTCTGTGGTTTTGCTGGCGACTAGAATTCGGTTTCCAGGAAACCGAATTCCGGGCAACCCATTTTTTTTTTCGTTTTGAATAATTTGAATTTTTTTTATTAAAATTCTAACTTAATAAAGTTATACATTATTATAAATTTTAAAACACATATATTCAAATTATTACTTATTAACATTATTAATAATTTATAATTATTAATTATCAAAATTATTAATATTTTATACACACATATATTTATAATTTATTTTTATGCTTTTTATAATATTTATTATATATATATATATATAATTTTTTTATATAAATATATATTTATATTAACATTATAACTTATTAAAATTTAAATTTATTAATTTAAAAATTAATTTTTATTTTTTAAAATTTTATTAAACAATTATTTTTTAAATATTACATATTTTTAAATTATTTAAAAACTTTAAAAAAATTTAAAAGATTTTAAATTAATTAAAACAAAAAAACAAAAAAAACAATTAACAGTAGCCAACAAATCCACGGGAGACACCATCAGAGCTTAGAATTCGATTTCCAGAAAAACAAATTCTAGCTTTGAATAGTAAACAAGTCTATTCTTGTAAATATATTGAGTCAAAGTCTAATTGTGTAATTATATTTTAAAAAATTTAATTTCAAAAAAAAAATTTAATCATAACAGATCGTTACAAAAGTAATATTTTAAAAGTTACAAAATATTAAAATAAAATATTTTGTATGAAAATTCATTTTGTTTAAATAATTTTTCCACCTAGTAAAATAAACTATCGATTAGCTCAAAAATATATTTTTCATCTCAAATAATTTACCACATCCACACTGCTCAAACAAAAATGTTGTCTAACGCACTCAATGTAAAAGGCAACTGATGTTTTTTTTTTCTTTTACAGTAATATTTTATTCCTTCTAACCACCAAGATTTTAACCTTCTTCACCAATGTCAAGGTTCAATTTCAAGCCTCATTTCCGTTTTGTATACGTAATGGTATTTATATAATAATCAAAATTACAATTAACATAGCTGTTTAAATTCTCTGTACCAGCTTAAGCTACACACAAAAAAAATTACACATTTGTTTGCAAAGGTTTTTTTTTTTAAATATAAATTTAATAGTAAACTTTTTAATATACTATATCCATTTTTTATTTTTGTTTTAACGTTATTTTTTTTATTCTTTATTATTATTATTATTTTTAAAATTAATAACTTATTATTTTTTTTCATTTTTATCCTTAATAATTAATGTATGTTTATTAAATAATATATTTATTCATTTTTTAATGTATCTATTTTTTTCAACAACCTAAAAGATATAAGAGAAAAATAAGTAATAAATACTTAAAAATTAAATTACTAATATTTTTTAATTTTTATATATAATCTTAAACGTAAAAAAAGAAAAAGAAAAAAAACACGGTGAGAGTAAGTTTAAAGTAAAAAAAGAAATTGAGAGAAGACGCGTTTTAAGGGCACGTAGCTCAACGGTCTAGTCATTTAATTTCCTTTGCATATGATTTGTGGATTGGAAGTTAAATTTACAAAGAGGGGCCCACTTGGGCTATTTATATCAGTGTGCCTCACTTCCAAGTTCCAACCTCCATCCCCAAACAAACTCACGCTTTTCATCACTCTGCCTTTCCGCCATGGTTCTCTCCAAAACCGCCTCCGAATCCGACGTCTCTGTCCACTCAACCTTCGCTTCTCGCTATGTCAGAACTTCACTTCCCAGGCAAGCAAGGGGATCCATATACTTTCTTCTTTTTTTTCCCTCAATGAAATGAATATGTTGGTGATGAAGGAATGGTGTGTGTGTGTGTTTCATCGATTATGCGGCCGCCATGTGACATGGATCTGCGATGCAGGTTTAAGATGCCGGAGGAGTCCATACCGAAGGAGGCAGCGTACCAGATCATAAACGACGAGTTGATGTTGGACGGGAATCCGAGGCTGAACCTGGCGTCGTTTGTGACAACTTGGATGGAACCTGAGTGTGATAAACTCATCATGGCTTCCATTAATAAGAACTATGTTGACATGGACGAGTACCCTGTCACTACCGAGCTACAGGTATCACTACTTCTCTATCTCGCTCTCTCTTTTATTTTTATCTATTTTATAATTTATGACATATAAAAGAGATTATTTTATTTGGTGTACATATTTTTAAATAATTTTATTTTTGAAATTTTTAAATAATAAAAATAATATTAAAAATTAACTATCTTTATAAATATGAACTGTCAACTTAAAATTTTAAAAATTAAATATAATATCAAATAATCTAATAAATATTAATAAATTTTAAATATTCTTATTAAATAAAATATAAAAACTCGATCTTACTAGTCATTATAATTTGTTTAAATATAAATTAAAATTAAGAGTTTTAAGAATATTTTCTTATATAGAAGCTATGCTTCTAAATTAATATCTAGACAAACTCTTATGTTGTGTTTGATTGAGAGAAGAAAAATATGTGATAAATAGAAAAAGGAGAAATAAGATAATAGAAATAAATTAAAAAATATAATAAAAATAAAGTTATTTGATTTAAAAAATAGATAAGAAATAAAAGAGAAATAATATTATATAATTATTTTGTTTAAATTGATAAATAAAAAATATTATTAATAATAAAATTACAATATTATCTTTTTAGGAAAATTGTTATTTATTCAAATAAATATCTTTATTTGAATAAAACTACTTTCAAGAAGGGATGTTATTGAATAAATAATGAGAGTTTGTGAGAGGTGAGAGAGTTATTTATGAGAGACAAGAGTGTAAAACTAAAACTAATTTTTATATATTTTCTTATAAAAAAAATTGATATATATTATCGCATCTCATAAATTTTGTCGTTTTTCCTTTTATTTTATTGATGTTTCTTTCTAACCAAACATAATTTTCATACTTTTCAATTATGACTATATATTATATTAAAAAAAATGACATGAATAGTAAGTGAGTGAAAAAGAAAACTGTTTAAATAAGAGGAAAAATGGTTAAAAAAAGTGAAAAACAAATAAATGCATTTAGAAATAAAATGTCTTCATTATGTGAAAATTAAAAAGTAATTAGGAAGAGGATATTTCTTCTATCTACAGTTATAGATTCCAGTCAAAGAAAAAAGTATAAAATATAAACTTGTTGTATTTGTTCAAATTCAATGTGTGGTTAAGTTGAGTTTGACTTGTGTAAAAAAGAATCTATTCTCTTAATTTTTAATAATAAATATTACTTATTTTAATCAATTTTCTCTTCATAACTTTTCAAAATGAGTTTCTTTTAACTTAGTTTATTTATTCTAATACTAAATGAAAAGCCACAAATGTTCGTTGAAGAAATTTGATTTATCTGAAGTAACATAAAAAAAAAAGAGAGAGAGAAAAAGATAAGTGATCTTAATTATTAATAAAAAAAATAATTATTGATATGTGATATTATGTATGTACATATAATATTATTATTTTTCTCATCCGTGACTGACTTTACTTTTTAAAATTAATTGCGAGAAATAGTTCTCAATTTCTTTCTACTACCATGTTGATGGGTGGTTTGAATGGATCTTGATCTGAGAAATAGATTATTTTATTGAAACTGACGTTAATAATATTAAAATTAATTTTAATTAATCATAATTTTTTTTTGTTTCAGTGCTTGTAAAGTTGGTTATCTGATACACATAAATTTAATTTTTTATTAATTAAAATAATATTTAATCAATAATATTATATTTTACAAATACATGTTAGTTTTGATTGTCAACTTAAAAATATTTACGGATAATTATGTATAAATAAAAAATTAGATAACTTCAAAAAAAAAAAAAAATCTGTATATGCCTTTCTTCCGTGACTTATTCAAAGTACGAGTCCTTTTCTGGGCTGTCATAGTGTCATTATTAATCCTACGAATGCCGCAGCTCTTTACAAGGATCCGGATTGTCTACAGTAAGACGCAAACTGCACACAGTGCACTACCGGATCTCACAATTAAGTGCGTGTTTGATTGTGTAGCTTCGCTTAAACGTGATTTTTCACATTTTAAAAACATAAACTAAGTATAATGAATTTAATTTAATTTTTATTTTTATTCTTTATTTAAATAAAGATAACTAAACATTACAAAAATAATCATAATGAATATTCAACATAAATTTTCATGGTATCAAAGCTTATATTCCGATAAATTTTTATTTTATGAAATAATAATAGGAAAGGTTAACGGGCGAGAATCATGCCGTTTGACTTTAAACTACCGTCAATCAAAATCCTAATTCATTTGAGTTGCCTTTTCATCGTACTACCAATCAATCACGCGAGCTAAATTTTAGAAGTTATTGTCGTATAGTTTTATTAGACATGTATTTATAATATATAAATAATAATAATTTAATTTGACATATATATATATATATATATATATATATATATTAGATAATTTTATTTTTAGA